TTTTCTCTTTTATTGTCCTTAATAGTAGTTTTTCTCATATTCTCTCACACTCAGTAACCCCTAGTGTCCTAGTGGCTTTATTGTCTTGCTTGGAGTGAAATGATTTTTAAAAAAAGACACATCCTTATCTTATGCCCCTTTCAATTTTTGTATATTTACTGAATTCATTTTCTATCTAAATGCAGGCAGTTTGAAACCGACAAATATTCTGGATTATTTTAATATCTTTTCCCAAATAAATCAAGCTTACCTAGCATTTCCAACAGTTCATTGTAGCTTTATTCATTGCAATTTCACTACTGACCATAAGTGAGGGCCAACCATTTCTTTTATAGTCAATAAGTTTGATGATAATGATGATGGTGCTGGTGGTAGTGGTGGCAGTGGCAATGATGATGATGATGATGATGATGATGATGCCTGTAAAGAAAAACATTAAAGCCTGTAGTGAAGCTTTATTCATTACAATTTCACTACTGACCATAAGTGAAGTCCAATTTTTTTATAGTCAGTTAGTAAGATGATGATGGTGTTGGTGGTAGTAGTGGTGGCTGTGGTGATGTTGACAATGATCATGATGATGCCTGTAAATAAAAGCATTCAAGCTTTTAGTGAAGCTTTATTCAATGAAATTTCTTTACTGCCCATCGATGAGGTTCAACCATTTCTTTTATAGTCAATTAGTTTTAAAGGGAGACAACTATGGTTGCCTTCACCACAGGTATACATCATTTTTCATTTATATGGTTCTTTAAAGACTTATAATGATAGCCAAAAGAGAATGTTCATGATTCTTCACTATTATTAGTATTCAAATGTTAATTTTTAAATCTATTTTCCAATTAATAAAGTTATATTCTTCTCTTTTATGACATCAGTTTTTTTTCTTTCCAACTCTATAATCATTTTACTATCAAAACAATGCTACTGACAACACAACAACAAAATAGCATTCCTGGATGTACTAATATCTCAAGTAGAACATAAGTTCAAGATATCTGTATACCACAAGCCAACATTCACTGGATAATAACTCAACTTCACCCATACAGTATAAAGAAAGGGATTGTCCACTGCCTATAACATAGACAAAAAGTCATAAGTGGCAACCCAGATATATTTGAACAAAAAATGGTCAGTATAAGCAGTATGCTACAATGTAACAACTATCCTGGGCACATGACAGCAGCTCTGACAAACTGGAATAGTAGGGTTCAAGAGGATAGTAACACTCAGAAAACAGCCTTGGTCTGCCTGCCCAACAAAAGTGGTTCAACACTTCACAGACACCTCATCTGAGTAAGACCCCCCCCCCTAGAGGAGAACATGACTAATAAGTGTCTGTATGTTATACGATGCAACTGTGGTAAGAAATATAAAGGAGAAACAGGCTGTCCCCTTAAGGTAAAACTGCAGGAACACCATAAATCTGTGACATGAGTGAAAATAGAAAAATCAGGCATAGCTGATCACATATGGAAGTAAAAATGAGACCACTGCCCCCTGTGGGATGAGGTTGAAATTTAGACAGAAAACATGACTGGAAAATACAAAAACTTAAGGAATCAGCAGATATGCTAGGTTACAAAAATCTCCTAAGCCGGCCAAGCATATGCATGAATACGATATAGGAACCACTAATATGGAATACTAGAAAAAAACAATAATAACAACAAATTGTAATATGAACTCTGGTAAAAATTGTTACTGAGACATTAGGTTTATAAGTTCCAAAAATTCATACAAGGACACATGGCCCAGTGGATAAAAGCATTAGTTAAATCCAGTGACTTGACCCAAAGTGTTGTGAGTTCAATACCTGGCTACTTCAGGAGTGAACATAAAGATGTTGAGTTGAAATAACTGATACTGAGATATCTGGAAGAGGCATGGCATGTAAAACTAGAACAATTTACTACCTCCCCACGTGGATCAATCATCTGAAGAAAGCTGAAATGTTGACAACAGAGTGCAAACAATGTAAATAGTGTAATTAAAGTATTTGAAAATATAGCAAAATATATATACATAGATGAAGCATTTGCTTTTGAACTAGGTTCCACTCTTTTACTGTTGAAATAGTGAAATGTAACTACCACTTCTACTCTAACAGTTTTTTTCTTGTATTTCTCCCTTCCATTTCCTTGCTTCTCAGATGACTACAATCTTCAAAAATTTAAATCGCCATGTTCTCTCTTCTTGAATCTTATTCATCTTTTGTCTTTTCCTCAATCCCCACTATTCTCAGTCTTTTCTTTCACTTTCATTCCCTGTAACCCCCTGAATTACTAGAGACATTAAAAAAAAATATTATTTATTTCAAATAAAATAAAGATAAATAACCTTTATAATTATATATTAAAAATTTTTAATATATGAAAAATTTGTATTAAATTTTTTTTTAAATTTCAAATAAATATATAATTATAAAAATTCTTTCTAATTATATATTTTTAAAAAGTAACTAGTAAAAGTAAGCTAGTCCATGTGTAATAAGAATTAGACATTCTTAACCAGCTGGTACTAAATAGGGGATCATTTTAGAATCATACTAGAAGACAGCTTATTTGATTATAGCAACAGGTGTGCATTTTAAAGTATTTAAATGATTGTAATGTATACAGAAATATGGTTTTCTAATTATTCAAAAAATGTAACATTTATCTTTGGAGCATCTTTTGCAGCATGTGGTGTTTATTGAAAAGTATAATTCCAATAACTTGATAACAAAAATCAGTGTCTATTAAATGACAAATTACCAAATATGTCTTGTGAGATAGAAAATCTCAGTAAGTTAAATATTTTCACCTGTTGCCATAAATCAAATACTGTTGCAAGGCCATGATTATGGCTTTATTAAACCTTTTTGTTGTTGGTGGTGTTTTTGTCACAAAATAATTGGAAAACATTCTTAGCTGAATGAATTACAAAATTAAAAATTACATTCAATATCCTTGTTGCCATTTTTACAAAAATTCAGCTTTTGTACCCTCTACCTTTCCTCAGGCATCTGTGATCCAATTAACCTTTGGGGAAATCTTGAACAAGATGAGATATCCATAGATAATGGATAGCAAAACAAGAATAATGATGGAATTGAAGTTGAGATATTGTCCAGTGAAGGTTGGCTTGTGACATATGGATGTTTTGAACCCATTCTCTGTGTGAGTTGTTAGTACATCCACAGGAAGGTTAGCTGATTATTCTTTTCTTCTTCCATTGTCTCTTATTGAGTTCACATGATCCAGTAGTACCTGTTCAGCTTCCTAGTGTGGCCAGAGTATGAAGGTGTCATCTATGTATGTCAAACATACTGTTGGCTTTAGTGATGCCATTTCTAAAGCTATTTCCTTAAAGTATTCTATATATATTTGTCAATTGCAGAGGCTCAGCATGCCATCAGCTGAGCAGATTCCCAGTGGAGATAGACAACCCACTGACAAGGAAGTCCTTGTCCTATGTTAGAAACTCAAAACACTATGAAATTGATCCAAGGGGTTCACATCCATAGCAATCAGATGGTAAGCTTGAATATGATAGAGTCCCTTCAGAATAGACCCTGAAAGTAGTTCAAAACTTATTGGGAGAATGTAATAACATTCCAAGAGATGGAAATTTTGATGTTCTGTGTAAAACTACATTCTTCCTACTTTTGTCTGACATATACCAATAGGAAGAAGGCTTGGCTATAGTATCACTGTGATGGTGAACATATACATAGGATACTTCAAGGAAATGACTTTAGGAATGGTACTATTAAAGCCAACAGTATAGCTGTAATGTGAAGATGACACCTATATATTGTGACTGCACCAGGAAACTGTACAAATACTGCTGGACCATGGGAACTCAATAAAACCTTTGATAAAATTTTCAGTTCAGAACTCCCTATAGGTTGCTCAGATCGATATACACATGATGAAGACACAACAGCTGAAATGTTTTGATGACAACAACAAAAATGAAGACCGTAGTGTAAATGTAAATAGAGTAAATAATGATAACTCTCCATCATTCAGTAATTCAGACAGAAATTAGGCTGGCAATAATGAATTAAATTCTAATAAATTCAATTAGCCAAATGATTAATCTGGCTAGGCTTTCAGATAATCAGTGCTGGAAAATAAATGATGGAAGTAATACAACTGACAAGACAAAGACAGTAATATATAAGTATGTATGTATAGCTAGCAACTCGTATTTGAGGATACTCATCTACAAGGGCATCTAGCCAATCGCTATTGCAGACGCTTGCTCAGGCACATTTATGTGGTTTATACTGCAACTATGTTGAGCAAACCTTAGTTACAGTTTCTGGGACAGAATGTTTTATCTAGCATGATCAACAATTCGAACAAAGCCAGCATGCTCAAGTTCTCAGCCATGATGGCTTGTGACTTCATGCTAGCACAGCTTTCAATGACCCCTAAGGGTACCATCTACCTAATTTTCCTCAGAAGGCTTGGGTCAACCCATGATATGGTTTTCAGGCACATTCCAAAGGTGCATACTATGGGATCGACCACTCCAGTCCAATATAAATTGAACATGGTGAACATTCTGACCATTCAAACCTGGGTCTCATGGTCAGAATGCAAACATTCTAACCACTTGGCTGTGTGCCCATAATATATAAGTAACATTATAATTAATGTATTAGTAAGTATGATAGGATAAGGAAGAAATAGGAAGCATTTATAAATTTAATATGTTTTGCATTTATTTACGCTTAATTAGAAAATGAAATTTAGAAGAGAAAAGAAAATTCTGGTACTTTTTTTTTGCATCAGACAATACACAACAGATTTTCCAATTTTTTCGATTTGTTCTTTATACTATCATTCTATTGCAATCACAACGATTGTTTTAAGACGGGGAAAGCCAAGGTAAATGAAAGGAAGAGGAAACCGAGAACAGAGGTCTAACGATTGTCTTAAGACGGGAAAGCCAAGGTACATGAGAGGAAGAGGAAACCGAGTACAGAGGTCACAACAATTGTCTTAAGACGGTGAAAGCCAAGGTAAATGAAAGGAAGAGGAAACCGGAAGAGAGGTCAGAATAATCGTCTTAAGACGGTGAAAGCCAAGGTAAATGAAAGGAAGAGGAAACCGAAGAACAGAGGTCACAACGATTGGCTTAAGATGGGGAAAGCCAATGTAAATGAAAGGAAGAGGAAACAGGAGAACAGAGGTCACAACAATTGTCTTAAGACGGTGAAAGCCAAGCTAAATGAAAGGAAGAGGAAACCGAAGAACATAGGTCACAACGATTGTCTTAAGATGGGGAAAGCCAAGGTAAATGAAAGGAAGAGGAAACCGGAGAACAGAGGTCACAACAATTGTCTTAAGACGGGGAAAGCCAATGTAAATGAAAGGAAGAGGAAACCGAAGAACATAGGTCACAATGATTGTCTTAAGATGGGGAAAGCCAAGGTAAATGAAAGGAAGAGGAAACCGGAGACCAGAGGTCACAACAATTGTCTTAAGAGGGTGAAAGCCAAGGTAAATGAAAGGAAGAGGAAACCGAAGAACATAGGTCACAACGATTGTCTTAAGACGGGGAAAGCCAAGGTAAATGAAAGGAAGAGGAAACCGGAGACCAGAGGTCACAACAATTGTCTTAAGACGGTGAAAGCCAAGGTAAATATAGGGAAGAGGAAACCAGAGAACAGCGGTCACAACAATTGTCTTAAGACGGGGAAAGCCAAGGTAAATGAAAGGAAGAGGAAACCGAAGAACAGAGGTCACAAGAATTGTCTTAAGACGGGGAAAGCCAAGGTAAATGAAAGGAAGAGGAAACCGGAGACCAGAGGTCACAACAATTGTCTTAAGGCGGTGAAAGCCAAAGTAAATTAAAGGAAGAGGAAACCGAAGAACAGAGGTCACAACGATTGTCTTAAGAAGTGGAAAGGCAAGGAAAATGAAAGGAAGAGGAAAGCGGAGAACAGATGTCACAAAGATTGTTTTACGACGGTGAAAGCCAAGGTAAATGAAAGGAAGAGGAAACCAAAGAACAGAGGTCACAACGATTGGCTCAAGATGATGAAAGCCATGGGAAATGAAAGGTAGAGGAAACCGGAGAACAGAGGTCACAACGATTGGCTTAAGATGGGGAAAGCCAAGGAAAATGAAAGGAAGAGGAAACCGGAGAACAGAGGTCACAACGATTGTCTTAAGACGGGGAAAGCCAAGGTAAATGAAAGGAAGAGGAAACCGGAGAACAGAGGTCACAACGATTGTCTTAAGACGGTGAAAGCCAAGGTAAATGAAAGGGAGAGGAAACCAAAGAACAGAGGTCACAACGATTGGCTTAAGATGGGGAAAGCCAAGGTAAATGAAAGAAAGAGGAAACTGAAGAACAGAGGTCACAACGATTGACTTATAATGGGGAAAGCCCAGGTAAATGAAAGGAAGAGGAAACCGAAGAACAGAGGTCAAAATGATTGTCTTAAGATGAGGAAAGCCAAGGTAAATGAAAGAAAGAGGAAACCGAAGAACAGAGGTCACAATGATTGTCTTAAGATGGGGAAAGCCAATGTAAATTAAAGGAAGAGGAAACTGAAGAACAGAGGTCACAACGATTGTCTTAAGATGGGGAAAGTCAAGGTGAATGAATGGAAGAGAAGACCGAAGAACAGAGGTCACAATGATTGTCTTAAGATGGGGAAAGCCAATGTAAATGAAAGGAAGAGGAAACTGAAGAACAGAGGTCACAACGATTGGCTGAAGATGGGGAAAGCCAAAGTAAATGAAAGGAAGAGGAAACCGAAGAACATAGGTCACAACAATTGTCTTAAGATGGGGAAAGCCAAGGTACATGAAAGGAAGAGGAAACCGGAGAACAGCGGTCACAACAATTGTCTTAAGACGGTGAAAGCCAAGGTAAATGAAAGGAAGAGGAAACCGAAGAACAGAGGTCACAACGATTGGCTTAAGATGGGGAAAGCCAAGGAAAATGAAAGGAAGAGGAAACCGGAGACCAGAGGTCACAACAATTGTCTTAAGACGGTGAAAGCCAAGGTAAATGAAAGGAAGAGGAAACCGAAGAACATAGGTCACAACGATTGTCTTAAGACGGGGAAAGCCATGGTAAATGAAAGGAAGAGGAAACCGAAGAACATAGGTCACAATGATTGTCTTAAGATGGGGAAAGCCAAGGTAAATGAAAGGAAGAGGAAACCGGAGACCAGAGGTCACAACAATTGTCTTAAGACGGTGAAAGGCAAAGAAAATGAAGGGAAGAGGAAACCAGAGAACAGCGGTCACAACAATTGTCTTAAGATGGGGAAAGCCAAGGTAAATGAAAGGAAGAGGAAACCGAAGAACAGAGGTCACAAGAATTGTCTTCAGACGGGGAAAGCCAAGGTAAATGAAAGGAAGAGGAAACCGGAGACCAGAGGTCACAACAATTGTCTTAAGACGGTGAAAGCCAAGGTAAATGAAAGGAAGAGGAAACCGGAGTACAGAGGTCACAACAATTGTCTTAAGACGGTGAAAGACAGGGTAAATGAAAGGAAGAGGAAACCGGAGAACAGACGTCACAACAATTGTCTTCAGACGGGGAAAGCCAAGGTAAATGAAAGGAAGAGGACACCGGAGAACAGAGATCAAAACGATTGTCTTAAGACGGGGAAAGCCAAGGTAAATGAAAGGAAGAGGAAACCGGAGTACAGAGGTCACAACAATTGTCTTAAGACGGTGAAAGACAGGGTAAATGAAAGGAAGAGGAAACCGGAGAACAGACGTCACAACAATTGTCTTCAGACGGTGAAAGCCAAGGTAAATGAAAGGAAGAGGAAACCGAAGAATAGAGGTCACAACGATTGTCTTAAGACGGTGAAAGCCAAGGTAAATGAAAGGAAGAGGAAACCGAAGAACAGAGGTCACAACGATTGGCTTAAGATGGGGAAAGCCAAGGAAAATGAAAGGAAGAGGAAACCGGAGAACAGAGGTCACAACGATTGTCTTATAATGGGGAAAGCCAAGGTAAATGAAAGGAAGATGAAAACCGAAGAACAGAGGTCAAAATGATTGTCTTAAGATGAGGAAAGCCAAGGTAAATGAAAGAAAGAGGAAACAGAAGAACAGAGGTCACAATGATTGTCTTAAGATGGGGAAAGCCAATATAAATTAAAGGAAGAGGAAACTGAAGAACAGAGGTCACAACGATTGTCTTAAGATGGGGAAAGCCAAGGTGAATGAAAGGAAGAGAAGACCGAAGAACAGTGGTCACAATGATTGTCTGAAGATGGGGAAAGCAAAGGAAAATGAAAGGAAGAGGAAACCGAAGAACAGAGGTCAAAATGATTGTCTTAAGATGAGGAAAGCCAAGGTAAATGAAAGGAAGAGGAAACCGAAGAACAGAGGTCAAAACGATTGGTTTAGACGGTGAAAGGCAAGGAAAATGAAAGGTATAGGAAACCGGAGAACAGAGGTCACAACGATTGTCTTAAGACGGGGAAAGCCAAGGTAAATGAAAGGAAGGAGACACCGGAGAACAGAGGTCAAAACGATTGTCTTAAGACGGGGAAAGCCAAGGTAAATGAAAGGAAGAGGAAACCGAGTTACAGAGGTCACAACAATTGTCTTCAGACGGTGAATGACAAGGTAAATGAAAGGAAGAGGAAACCGGAGAACAGAGGTCACAACAATTGTCTTCAGACGGTGAATGACAAGGTAAATGAAAGGAAGAGGAAACCAAGAACAGAGGTCACAACGATTGTCTTAAGACGGTGAAAGCCAAGGTAAATGAAAGGAAGAGGAAACCGGAGAACATAGGTCAAAATGAATTTGTTAAGATGGGGAAAGCCAAGGTAAATGAAAGGAAGAGGAAACCGGAGAACAGAGGTCACAACAATTGTCTTAAGACGGTGAAAGCCAAGGTAAATGAAAGGAAGAGGAAACCGGAGAACAGCGGTCACAACAATTTTCTTAAGGCAGTGAAAGCCAAGGTAAATGAAAGGAAGAGGAAACCGAAGAACAGAGGTCACAACGATTGTCTTAAGACGGGGAAAGCCAAGGTAAATGAAAGGAAGGAGACACCGGAGGACAGAGGTCAAAACGATTGTCTTAAGACGGGGAAAGCCAAGGTAAATGAAAGGAAGAGGAAACCGGAGTACAGAGGTCACAACAATTGTCTTCAGACGGTGAAAGCCAAGGTAAATGAAAGGAAGAGGAAACCGAAGAATAGAGGTCTCAACGATTGTCTTCAGACGGTGAAAGCCAAGGTAAATGAAAGGAAGGAGACACCGGAGAACATAGGTCACAACAATTGTCTTCAGACGGTGAATGACAAGGTAAATGAAAGGAAGAGGAAACCGGAGTACAGAGGTCACAACAATTGTCTTCAGACGGTGAATGACAAGGTAAATGAAAGGAAGAGGAAACCGGAGAACAGCGGTCACAACAATTTTCTTAAGACGGTGAAAGCCAAGGTAAATAAAAGAAGAGGAAACCGAAGAACAGACGTCACAACGATTGTCTTACGATGGGGAAAGCCAAGGTAAATGAAAGGAAGGAGACACCGGAGAACAGAGGTCAAAACGATTGTCTTAAGACGGGGAAAGCCAAGGTAAATGAAAGGAAGAGGAAACCGGAGTACAGAGGTCACAACAATTGTCTTCAGACGGTGAATGACAAGGTAAATGAAAGGAAGAGGAAACCGGAGAACAGAGGTCACAACAATTGTCTTCAGACGGTGAATGACAAGGTAAATGAAAGGAAGAGGAAACCGAAGAACAGAGGTCACAACGATTGTCTTAAGACGGTGAAAGCCAAGGTAAATGAAAGGAAGAGGAAACCGGAGAACATAGGTCAAAACGAATTTGTTAAGATGGGGAAAGCCAAGGTAAATGAAAGGAAGAGGAAACCGGAGAACAGAGGTCACAACAATTGTCTTAAGACGGTGAAAGCCAAGGTAAATGAAAGGAAGAGGAAACCGGAGAACAGCGGTCACAACAATTTTCTTAAGACGGTGAAAGCCAAGGTAAATGAAAGGAAGAGGAAACCGAAGAACAGAGGTCACAACGATTGTCTTAAGACGGGGAAAGCCAAGGTAAATGAAAGGAAGGAGACACCGGGAACAGAAGTCAAAACGATTGTCTTAAGACGGGGAAAGCCAAGGTAAATGAAAGGAAGAGGAAACCGGAGTACAGAGGTCACAACAATTGTCTTCAGACGGTGAATGACAAGGTAAATGAAAGGAAGAGGAAACCGGAGAACAGAGGTCACAACAATTGTCTTCAGACGGTGAATGACATATAGAAGATTAGATATTACATAGCAGTTCAACACTCTTTTCTTTGTTTCTAATGACATTTTCTTATCTCTTAATACTTTGCTTAGTTTATGAAAGACATGGGGAGATTGTCCAGCATTACTCTGTTTCTAATGAAATTTTCCTGTTTAAAAAATACTTTGCTTAGTTTATGAATGGCATCTCCAGATTTCTGTGTTACATTTTGTATTGTCAGTGCAGGATTGCAAAGCAATGTCTACTTACTTATATGGTCATAAAAAAGGGATTATTTCTTCACAAATAAAAAAGAGTTAATGTACCATAAATGGAGCCCTACTGATGGATGTTGAGAATACCATGGACAAAGCATGTGACAAGTGAGGACATTCAAAGAAAAATAGGAAATACAAAGAAATGGTTGCTATCAATGAAAAAGAAATAGCTATAATTTTGAGGACAGAATGATGAAGGAAAGCTTGGAGAATTTAACACTCACAGGACACATCAAAAGCAAAAGAAAAAAGCAACAAACAATACACTTAACAGGTTTGAGCAAATGGTTGCAGGAATAATATTCACAAAGTGGAGCTATAAAGAAACAATAATTTCTGAAAGTATCAAAGTATAGGAAACTGTGGAGAATCATGATCAAATATCTCCTGAAAGGGCATGGAATATAAGCAGTTAGAAAGATAGAGTTTTGATAATCATTATCTTATTGCCCAATCACATGCTTGAAATCTAAACCTCTATATAGTATACTGATATAGCTTAAATTATATTGATTCATCTCCCTTGCAAGAAGTCCTTAAAGGGGCAGAAGCAGAGGACAGGCCCACTTGCTTGCAGAAATATTTAAGATTAATAAACAAATGTGAATGGATCCCTACATTAAATAGTGACCACATGTTACATTTTGTCTTGTGGAGGCAATTATTGATCTTGGTTCACTGTCATTTTAAATGAGGGTTTAGAGTAACTATAAATTATTTAATCTGACATCTGTCCAGTTAGATATTCGCTTCTTTTTGTTGCATGAGAAATGTTTCAAAAGAAGTTATGTTTCATTTTATTTGTTGATCCCAAAACCAAAATTATGTATCTTTTAGAGTTAAAATGAATTTAAAAATTTTACTCTAGCTAAAGGTATATACAAATATTTATGTCTGCAATAATATGGGAAACTCTAAGTGAAAAGAATTATATACAAATGAAATATATACATGATGAAAACCAAAACACATAGTTGAAACACTATGAGAATAAGACAACAAAGATAAGGATACAAGTCAAATTAAGTTATTGAGTAATAAAAACATATATAATAACTAGATCATCCATGAAAAATTTACATCCAGGTTCTTACAACATTTCACCTTTCTTGGCAGATCTTTTATTATCACAATGTGAGACGATATTTAATAATGAAAGTGATGGAAACATAAACAAAAAGAAAAAAAACTAAATGAAATCAGATAGATTATATGCCCAAAACATATATTTTCTCAAAAAATGTCCCCTTTCCTTTGTACACATGTAGTCACATCAACATAAACATCAAATAAAGTCCTAAAGAACAAAAGGTGTCACCCAAGAACTTTTTCCACTTTGTCAGTGATTTTTTCCCCTAAATTTTCCTTAAAGTTGTTCTTAATATATATATATGCATTTATATATATATATATATATATATATATATATACACATTCCATTCAAGAACTTTGAAGTAGTAGCTACGAAGAGATCAGATTCCAGCTGCCATGCAAGAATAAAGTACCATCAAGTAGTAAGCATCATTCGACTGCATGAAACACGAAAGTGAAATAAGACAGCTAACAGTGTTCCTGCTGCACTTGCATGTAATACTTTCTCCAGTACTGTTTGTGGTCTTTTGTGAAATTCTTGAGCCAGCCTTAAAAGTCATGCCTGTCATAGGCATACAGGTAATTAGTGGTTGGCCATCAGAACCTCATATGTCAAACTTGATGGCAGAGTCCATATATATATATATATATATATATATATATATATATATATATATAAATTTGGTGGCACAGAACATAGATTTAAAAATGCATGAAAGCACTCTTCTTTCTTAAAGCATCCTTTTGACCAACACATCAGAAGAAGAATACATTGGTAAATATTAATGACTAAGAAAGCATAGTAATTCCCACTGTGAGGAAATATAAGGAAGTGAAAATGAACCACAACTAAAATACAAATTTAAATATAACACAAAAAGAAAATAACTATTACAATAAAATTAAACATTTATTTAATACATGATTTAATAATTGCTTTTTATTTTAATCATTGTACTCCAAGCAAGACAATAAAGCCACTAAGATGCAAGGGGTTATTGAGTGTAAGAGAACATGAGAAAAAGATAACATTATTAAGGAAAGAGAACAGTAAGAGAAAAGAGATTATGAAGACAGAAGGTGATTGACATTGCATTTAAATTTGTAAAGATCAAAGATAACAGGGAAGCAAGAAATATTACTATAAATGAACATATTCAAAATTTTACCTAATATAAAAAAATCAATTTTATAACACTAAAAATACTTTTAAACAATTTATATCATAAAAATAATACTAAAGTAAAGAAAACAAGATTTGAAATTAAAGTTCAATATAAGATTTGCTAAGGATTGGATGAAACACCCATGAAACTCAGGTTACAGATTGAAAAAGATAAGTGAACTAATATATTTTATTAAAAATGTGTGTTGAGGGGGATACATTTCATATATCTTCATATTTAATTTAAAAAGAAATAAGTATTTTAGAAACTATGATGTTGATAAGTTTCTAGATATAAAGATATCTAAATATTCATATTAAAAAAAAGATGTATATCTGTGACTAACCAATCAGTAAGCTAGCTCATCATTCAAAGTGAATAAATACCTACTAAATCAGATATCACAGTTCTAGAATTGCTGCTATACAAAGGTAATAAAACTGGCAAGTATCCACTAGCAGACATTTGATTTATGCTTGAGGGGAAAATGCCAACAGATAGTATTTCACCATAGAGTGTTCATTTTACATTCAAATTTATTCTTTTATTTGTTTCCTAGACCATTTCATCAAATGTATTCAGCCAAATATTGAGTGTGACATGTACACATTGCAATGTGTAAATTGTTGCTATTTTATATTTGTTTTTCATTTTGTCAGCTACACAGTATAGTAGGGTCAGTTGGGCACCATCTGTGAGAAAAAGAACACTCTGATGCAATTCACTCTGCCAGAAATTTGAAAACAGCATGCTGTGCTTAATGGTATTCATGCCAGAAGTGCCAATGTGAACAATTTTGAGTTTTTGGGTGTCAATCTGATGACAGTGAGAGGATTTGGAAAGAGTTTGGTGAGTCTAATTGTGATTACGAAGGTGTTTGATGGAATCACTAGGAATGACAGCATTATGCTGCCATTCATCTTCTCACAGGACCTGAAACTCAACATGGAGGCCTACATCATATGCCTTGAGGAGGTAGTACTGCCCTGGGTCAAGAGGGTGGTTGATGGAAGACCCTATGTCTGGCAACAGGACTGTGCATCATGCCAGACAAGCAAGGGAACCCAGTCATGGCTATCACACAATTTCTGTGACCACATCACCCCTTACATCTGGCCACCTAGCTCCCCAGACTGCAATCCTCTTGATTATTATGTGTGGGGTACAGTTGAGCAAAAGACCAACAAAACTCATTGTAATACCAAAGATGAACTGAAGGCAAGGATTATAGCAGCATTCACCAACTTAAACACAGAGACCATCTAGTGTTGCAGGAGATTCCAGTCATCTGATGGCCATGGTTGAAGCCAATGGCAATTTTATTTAGTATTTCAAGATATTTTTGTGCAATTTTGGTAAATATATCTGTTAAAATGAGATGTCAGTGTTATTTTCATTTTTTGCATAATTTAGATGACAATTTATCCATTGTACATAGTAATGATTCTAAATCTCAAATTCACTTATAGTGGATAAGAGGTTACCAAATTAGAGTAAAGCTATCAATAAAAAGATAAAAAAAAGAGTGATATGTAATTGGTAGATAAGGAGATAGAATTAAAGAATGCTTGGGAACCAGGATTAATGCACTGATGATAAATATTTCATCAGTCTAACAGAAACCACTAACAGATTTTGAACTAAGTCTTTCATTTCCAGTAATTATGATGATGATGATCATCATCATTCTCTGTCCTATGACTAGGTGTGGTCATAGGGCTGCTGCCCAGTTGGGTACCTGACTAGTTCCCTCCACATACCTGGGTTGAAAGCTAGAGAAGTATTCATTCATGCATAGTGCAGGGCCAGTGCATATTACTCCTGAACCTCCCAACTGACTATTACTCCTGATCCTCCCAACTGACTAATTTCTCATCCATAATGTTAAATGTGTTAAAATTATTCAACATTTTAACAAAAAAAATATCAAGATGATTTTAAAAATTTTTACAAAACATTGTTGGTTTATTTAAGATGGAATGATCTATTATAACATCTCTAATTTGTATTTTAGATACATTGTATTTATTTTCAATTTTTCTAGTTGAGTTGTTCACCTATATTGCATAGGATCCATTATTGTACATAATTAGTTTACAATAAAATTTTATTTTATATGAATACAACCTTTTGAAAATTGAGATGTAGTAGAGTGGGGGGGCTGGTATCATAGATGAGAAGGGAATGAGTCCCTTGCACCTGCCCTGATAGTGTGTCTTGAGCAAGTAGACCTGGTGAAACCCACACCTTTTCAGGTTAAACTATAGCCAATGTCTTCCAACTTGAAGGCTTTCCTTAGTCCTGAACACATGATTGTTGATCCCAGTGGGGGAACACTCCACCCTGGCACCCCCAGTCCTCCCTCCAGCAATACTATGGTCATCACTGTACTGACTGCATACATAGGTATGGAGCTCAGTTTACCTCATTTTGTTAGATGACTGTTGACCCTAAAATACTAATGATGAAAATGAAGTTGTATATATGATAAATAACAAATATAAACCTTTATATATCAACAATCAAAAAGCCATACACAATTAGCTATGTACAAATATGTATGAAAATGTTCTGGGGAAATGTTATTTAGAGTTCACAGTTTAAATTTAGTTTTATATCAATTAAAAGATTTCTGTAAGTGTATGTGTGTGTGTGTGTGTGTGTGCGCGTGCACGCGCGTGTGTGTGTGTGTATGTGTGTGCGCATGTGTTTGTGTGAAAAAAATGTGCTGATAAGAAAGAAGAGGTTATTTTATGTACGTGCATTCAGTAGCAGTGAAAAAAAAGACAGTCAATAGCAGCTGGTGTCTCTAATAGTTTGTGTGTATTGGTCAGTTGTGTTTCTTTGAGGTTGCTGTGAGTGAATCTTCTACTACTGACTTCTTCAAGTTGACAGCTTGTTTTTTATTTGTTTCTGGATTAAATCCCAACCACCATACTTAGGAGGTTTGAAAATTCAATAGATCCATTTGATTGGTTCATTTTTTTATCTGAACAAAGCCAAGATGTTCACTACTACTACAGCTAAAATCAAACTGGATCAAGTGAAACTGATTTTCATTTTCTTCTAGAAACCAGGTATGAAAGTTATGCTTATTTTTTAAAGCTTTCTGGTTGGTTACTAATTGTTTGTGACATTTCTTGTTATTGGTCAGTTGCTTAGAGATAAATGCATGTATAGCCCACAACATAACAATAACAAAAATAATTTTGTGGTAGGTTCTTGTGTAGGCTATATTGGAATGTATAAGTTAATAAGAGCTTACACTTTGGTATGCAGAAGTTATTAATTGAATGAAACCTTGATTAAAGGAACTGAGACAAAATAAATCTTGTGAATAGGAATTTATCAAAATTGGTTGAGATGTGTTTTTGGTTGTTCATAGTAACCATTACTGACTACTGATTTTGGTATTGTTTTTATACTAATAAAGCAGTTCTCATATGATGTTAGGTATATTAAAAAATGATTGGTTAGAAAAAGAATTATTCTCTGAGTTCTTACTGACCAAAGCAATAGCATAATAAAATCATAAGAAATATAATACTTACTATTATTGGAACACAAAATCTAATGGATCAAAATGTTGATTAAAACATATCTGGTCCTTTGCAAATGTCATTTCAATTCCTGTGTCAGGTAGTGTAGAAAAGGCATATTCTCTGTTTCAGTGGAAGAACAAGACAAGTAACATGAAAGTGAATAGTAACAAATATAAGATATCCCAAGTTAAGCAATTGCAAAATTTAAAAATATACATAGAAAAAATATTCAACCCAGAATAAGACTACTTTTAACAAAGAATGTTCTTGAAGCTCAAAGATAATAGCATTTAATCATAAAGCATAGATTTATTCATAAATGATAAGTTTTTATTTAACATTGTTTAAACACATAACTTACTTAAATAGATAACAGCTCTAAAAATTAATTTTCCCATATTACATTAGTTTCCCATATTATATTACTTTCTTAGCTTTCATTTCTTGAGTCAAAAGGATTGGCCATGAACTTGATTGTTAATCATCATTCTAAAATAATTTCTAGAAATAAAACAAGAAAACCACATGTATAAAATTCAATATCTACCACTCATTCTCTCTCATTCTATTTCTCTCTCTTCCTCTCTCTCTCTCTCTCTCTCTATATATATATATATATATATATATATATATATATAAAGGTGTGTGTGAATGTGTGTGTAAAAATTCAGATATAGCTAAAAATATATCAATGAATGCACAATATGAATAAATGCAAATGGAAAAATTATCTTAGCTGATGCATTTCATCCTCTGATAGACTTTAACAAGGCAAATGTGAATATTTTATTTTGCAACAAGTATTTATAAACAGAAGCAAAAATGTCAACTTTTCAGAATTTTTAAATTTAAGAACACTCATATCAAGGTAACTGAAAGTCAAAGTAAATTATGGAAGATTCTAAATGATATAATTTAATGTTTAATAAACAAAAGTGAGTAAATGCTGCTGTTGAATTTTTGTTTATAATGGTATTATTATTTATATTATTTTAATTTGAGATTAATTTATACATTATATATTTTAAATAATAGAAAGTTTTGAATTTAACCATTTTCTTTTAATTTTTGAAAATTTTTATAGACATGTATGTCAACTTGGGAAAGGAGTATTTCTTTCAGGAATGTGGATATTTGAAAAAGTTTGGGTGCACATTTATATTTTGGTAAGTTTTCATAATGGCACTCTCAAGAATTTTCTGTCTAACTTACATTCTCTGTTAATAAGTCTAGCATTCTTTTTGATCAAAATTGTGGTTGAACTTATTTCTACATATGACTAAGGCATTTGATGAATTGGTATGTATAAGATACCTTTTCGTGTTCATAGATAAATTGTTTTTTTCTAACTTCTGTAAGTTTTCCCAATACATTATAAGGAACAGTTATGAAGTTTATTTTATATATACCTGCTTCAGAATTATTATTGTTATGGACATTTTTGGTTCTGATCAGATTCATAATAGTTTTAGATATAGTTGTAATTATTTTGATATTATTAAGATAGGATAAATTGTTTTTGATAGATGTTGAGGAGTTAGTAGGTAGTATCATGTCTGTTTTTATCTAGCTTATTGTTTTTGTTGTTGTTATTAATGTCATTATCTTTTTTTGTAGTTGTAGATTTTGTATAGCTTTTCCTTAACATTGTGGATGAATTAATGAGGATATTGGAGGTTTTTGAAGGTGTATTCTATGTATATTTTTTCTTCAGTTAAATATTGTGGGCAGCAGATTCTTAATGCTCTTAAATAGATTCCTATAATTGTTCCAGATTTTATTCTGTTGCAGTGGTTGGAATATAAATTAATAATGTTATTCTTGTTATTTTCTGTAAATCTTCAATTGAAGGTCATTATTAGTTCTATGTAACATGATACCTAGGAAGGGCAAAGTGTTGTCAGCCTCAGATTCAAAGGTAAAATCTATTGTAGGTTTGACATTAAATTTGTTAAGATGATTGGGTAAAACTATGTCAAATATCTTCATTCCTGAAAGAAATACTCCTTTTCCATGCCATCATACATGAAGCAAAAGAGTTAAATTCAAAAACTTCTATTATGTAAAATATATAATACATAAATTAATCTCAAATTAAAATAATATTTACATTAGTCAGACTATTGTCCTCATATTTGTCACAACATTTCGGCCGTCGTATGGTGGTTGGAATTTCGAACTGAACCCTTTATTTCGATCACTGGGGTAGACTGTTCTAGTTCCACGTGCCATGTTTGATGGATGTCAGTTATCTCCTGCTAATTTTCCCTCTGAAAGTTCTCCACTGCCTTAACCAGGTATTGAACTCACACTCTTTGGGTCTGTCACTGGATCTAACCAACACCTTTATCCACTGTGCCATATGTCCTTGAGGACATCTGGGAATGAATTTCTGGGTATTATAAACAACCATTGTTTTTACCAGTGCTCATATAGCAATTTTGCTGTTATCATTGCATAATTTTTACCAGAGCTCATATTGCAACTTTGTTATCATTGCTTTTCTCTGGCACTCCTTATTACTGGTTCCCATATTGTATTTATTTCTATGCTTGGTCAACTCAGGAGATTTTTGTGGCCTAGCATATGTGCTGATTCCTTAAGTTTACGAATTTTCCAATGGTGTTCCCTATCTATGATCTCAACATGATCCCACAGGGGGCGGTGATCTCCCTTCTCTCTCCATATATGGTCAGCCACGCCTGATTTTTCTACTTCCCCTCGTGTTACAGCTTTCTGGTGTTCTTAAAGCCTTACCTTGAGGGGGCGGCCTGTCTCTCCTTTATATTCCTTTCCGCAGCTGCACCCGAGATAATAAGTAGACAGAACATGTCAAAATTATTTAACAAAACCTGTCTGAATATATACATATTAATTTAATTTAATGAGAAAACAGACAACCTTAAGGGTCCATTGATTATATTTTATTTCCCCAGGTAGGTGGCTTTTTCCTGGTTCATCAGATCACATTTCCAAGGGTAAAAAATGATTTTAAATTTACGTATTATTTTTATACACTTTTGAGAGGGAGTTTATATATATATATATATATATATATATCTATACTTTACAACTGGAATTAAGATACCTTTAGTTAATGAACATTTTCACCTATGAATTAGGGTTAAAATGTCATTAACTAAAGGTATCATCATTCTAGTTGTAAAGAAAATTTGGTCTGTTTAACGAAAATAAACATTGAGGGTTCTTTTGTGAGTCAGTTTTAACAAAATTCAAATTCTATGTTGTGTTAATAGGACTTGCCTAGATTATACCAATGGATTACTACCTATATATATATATATATATATATATATATATATATAGTGGGGTGGTGAACAACATTAAAAATAATTAATGAATCATATTTAAAATTGAGATAAAAATCATTAAAGGATTTGAAATGTCTGAAATCCACATACATAAAACTCAATGTTTCCCCCTCTCTCTCCCTCTCTCTCTCTCTCTCTCTCTCTCTATATATATATATATATATATATATATATATATATATCAGATCAATGATTAAAACTAGCTTTGAGTGAGTGATGTTTGATGTTGGCCTCGGGGAGGACTTCCTTCTTTGAGCCTTGTGAATTGGCGCTACAGAATTACAAACAAAGAAACATACAAATAACAGAAATCAAATCACTGAAGGACTTTCAATAGCAGCAACAACTAAAATTGATAGCACATATAATTCAAGGAGAGAATAATGGCATAATCAAGATGCTGACATTTGTCACTATCTCAAAGAAATGGTAAGGGAGGAAGCCCAATCAATACTGGAAAGACCATTGAGATACCTATTTTTCAGAAAAATAGGTTTAAGAAAAAGATTTTATAAATTTCAACTAATAGCAGCACAGTCAATGAATACTGAATATTTCCTTATAATGAAATAGCTAATATTACTATGTGTTTGTGTGTGTGGGCGTGTGTATTTAAGGAAACATTCTAATGTAAAAAAGTTCTGCAGTACTCTTCCATGAAAATAGTGGGGAGAAATCCATAATATGCAAAAGCATACAAAGATCCAAATTACTAAAATCTGAAGTAAGAGCAAAATTGGGCAAAAAGGAATAAAACAGCAGGACTTGATAAGCTTCTCACATATATATATATATTGACAGCCTTAGATGATTTCATGATTGATAAGATTAGTGAATTGATAAATAAAATACACAACGATGGTGAAATACCAGATGTATGTAGATAAAATTTTCATTTTATTGCCAAAAAGAAAAAGCAAGTGCAAATAAGCATGAACTTTATCAATCATCTGACTGCTGCTGTTGCTTCTTCTTCTTCTTTGTGCAATAGGATACAGGTCATCATGGCTCTCCACAACTTCCTATCCTTTATAGTTCTAAACAATATTTGTCACTTTACTATCTTTCCTAGTCTCTGTTCTGCCATCCATTTACATAAGCTTCTTAGATAAGTGGATCATGGCTCTCCACAACTTCCTATCCTTTATAGTTCTAAACAATATTTGTCACTTTACTATCTTTCCCAGTCTCTGTTCTGCCATCCATTTACACAATCTTGTTACTTAGTTTGACCATGACTCTCCACAACTTCCTATCCTTTGTAGCTCTTAGCACTGTTTGTCTGTTCACTAACCTTCATAGTCCCTGTTCTGCCATCCATTTACACAATTTTAGGTTACTCATTGTTTCTGTCTTACCTTCAATATGTCTTGTGAGTGTCGTTTTCCTCATTATGTGCTCCAGAAATTTCAACTGTTTCTTTCTGATTCTAAGAATAAGTGTCCTTTTTGTTTCTATTTTCCTTAAAACTTCTTTGTTACTCACAAAGCCCTACTTTTTTACCCACAGCTGGAGAGAGAAAAAATAGATTGATGCCATTTTCAAGGGCATTATGTAACACCGTATCCTCACCCCGCTGGACCCACACACTCCACAAGATCGGCCGTTAGTCTGGTATGGTCCAGTATTACAGGTTATATAAGTCTCTGGTTCCCAATGTCAATTCAAAGCCACCCTCCAGCCACGTTGTGATTCCACAAGCCAGAAGTGCGAGAAGAGAAATTGTTAGCATAGAACTTATGGTTACAGCTGTAAATTCACGAGATATGATTAAATATCAATAATTACTGTATATTACTGATCAATATCATAAATAAATATTTAATTCTTCAATAATATATCCAAATTCCATCTTACTTATATAAGTTATTGCTATTGAACAATTCTGTTCAATAATGAACTGCATCTTTCCAATAAAACTTATTTTTAATTATATAGTGCTTTATATATCTATATAAGTAATGCTCTTAAAATGAAATTTTTATTTATCTTATCCCTAATCTGAGTTTCAAAGAGATTACATCCATTCATCAGGGGACTTGATTGGAAAATATAATTTATTTTCA